ATTTCATCAGCACTCTTAGCTCATGTGTGTGAAAGTGAAGGAAGAGACACTGAATGTCTCACGAAGGGAGAGCAGAAAAAGGGGAAGCACGAGGCTCAGGCAAAGATGCAGGAGAGAGACAGCTAATGTGTGTTTGTCTTTCCTTTCAATGACTTCGACTTTAACCTAGTCCTGGCTCTATGAATTTAAGGACCCGCGTCTTGAAGAAGAACAAACACACACACACAGTTGTCACCTAGGTGGCTAGAGGACACTCGGGTGCAATTCCTTCGCATCTGCAGCCCTGTCCCGGACTAGATCGATTGATCGATCTGTCATTTATTGTTCATTTTTATTTCATTAACCTAGTACAAACTCCAGTTTGAAGTGAAACCCTTTAAGAAGTCACATCCTTGCCTCTTGCATCAGAGGGCTCTGAATAGCAAATGGTTCCTTATGTTTTCAAATTCTAAGTAATTCTGTTAAAGCTGTATAGAAAATTTCCCATCCAGCTGTGGGTTTGCACAAATACTTAGAATCAGTGAACATTCTCCTCCACCCTATGGTACCTCCAAATCAAGAACACCCCAAAATACAAAAGCCATTCCTCTATCTACTACTGTGGAAATGAAACGAAAGGAATAAGAGAAAATCATTACTGCACTACACTGTTAGGAAACTGCAGTGTGCACACAGCACAGCATTATGCTTCGAATCAATCTTTTAATTCCACAGCTTTGATTCTAAATCCCAGGACGCTGAAATCTCTCAAGCGCCACGTCCACCAACAATGGACACGATGATGACTGTTTGGCCAGGCAGCCTTCGGCAAGCGTAGCGATGTAGTTACAAGGGACAATGAGAAGAGGTCAGGCAGTCGGCACCAATTCTCACACATACATCTTTTGCACACATGGTAGGAAGTAAGTCCCTAAAACAGCTCGCGCCAAATCCAACAGACCCACTTCCTGGTAATGCTGACAGAACTGCTGGTCAAAAGGGGGACAAACCAGAGATCCCAAGTTCACACGTAAAAAACAAGATCCAGACCACCTGTCATACCACGTGCACCATCAGCAAAAACCGCCAGCACTTCAGTGGGAGCCCTTCACTGAAGTGCAGAGTAAAAATGGAAAGCTGCTGTCGAAGAGCTGCCAGCAGCTGCCAGACAGACGCTCTAAGAGGCCTGCAGGAGTCTTGCACACGGGAGAGGGCCTTCTGCAGCGAGGGAAGCTGCAACAGCAGCGGGTTACCAGCGTGGGTGGCAAATCCCGGTCCTGTCCCTCCTCCACTGCCTTCTCCCCACATCCACACCTAGAAGTCGAGGAAGTGCATCTCATGGCGTCAGGTTCCCTCCCGCTCTCTAATGGGAATCTCTGGGACAGAACGTTCTCATCTCCTTCCACGTTCTCACATCAGTGCCCTCTTCCGACCATCTGTAGCTGTGGCTCTCTCAGCTCAGCAGCACATGTTGGCACTTCTAATGCAACGAGACATATCCACCCGAAGTTCATTCTTTAGGTCAGGTGGATTTCTCGAGGATTCAACACACACGCTACACCAAACTCTACCAAACAAGAACAACCCTTTAGGATTTATGGAGTAAAACAGAAAGTTCATAAACACTGCTGAAAGTGTTGCACGCTATAGTTCCTTGCAGTATCTTCTAGGAGCCTCACATTATTTTTCTACCAATAGTATGCCAGCTATTTCAATACTAATTTATTTTGGTAAAACAATATAAAGCCATACATGTCAGCGGTTTCGAGTTGTTTTAGCATCTGTAACACAAAGACATTGTGGAAGTCATGTCTTGTCCAACCTCACATATATTAACTGCATTACAGAGAATTAAAATTCTAATAAAAGAAACTGGAGTTTAACATTAAGTTACTGGAAGGGGCACACACCACAGTATTAAAAATGTCTGTGGAAAAGGACAAGAATGACTTCCTGTGTATGCTGATGTAGCGAAGGAAACTGGAGAAGGAAATTCTGATTTAAAAACTTAGCCACTGGATAGTGTTTCTAGCAGCCCATCAATAGCTTTTCCAATGACACATAAGCAGGGAGAATGAAAGGCTGTAAGGAGAGGCACTGTCGGTAAATACAGGGCTCTGCAGCGCTCTATCGGGTTGGGACACGCAGACACCAAGCAGGGAGAGGGCAGCCCGCCCACGCTGGGCACAGCCCACAGCGACAGCTGCATGGCGGGTGGCATTCTGACTTCGCTTCCCCTTCACTCTGGGACAGCTTGATGAAAACCAGGAAAACTTTCTGTATTTCCCCTTTGAGAAAGAAATATAAACAGTTGCTAGTAAGTCTCTGCTTTTTTTCTTTTCCCTTATTAATTTTTTAAAAAAGAAATATGTACTAAGCACCTACGTGGGCTCTAGACATAGCAGGAAATCATGGGGCTCAGAGTCCAAGGAAGGGCACAGAAAACGAGATGTGTAACACCTCGGTGGGCCAGAAGGTACCAGGAAAAGGAAGCCATGAAGGGTAGTGAGGACTTGGGGGCGGGCAGGAAAAGGCTTCCTAAGGCCGAGGTCATCGAAGATCTACAGGAGGTGAGGGCCAGGCTCAGGTGTGTCAGAGGAAGCTGACCCAGAAATACGAATGGAGAGTGAAACAGTGAAACGCCGGGGCATGGCTCAGCAGGAAGGCCCTGGGCTCACCCCCAGTCCTGCGAAGCGGGGAAGCTGCCCGAGTGTGGCTTTCTGTTCATTAGCTCAGGATCGGCATGCGGTGTGTGCTGCGGGGCAGGAGAGCAGCCCTGCCCTAGGGAGCTTACGGCCTCCGAGGAGGAGGGGTGAGAGTCCAGAGCCGCGGCTGGCTGTCTCCCTGAGGGCTCTGAAAGGCTCGCCAGCGCTGGTCTGATGAGCTCCGGGCTGAAAGGACCAGGGAACACTTTACAACAAGAATCCGCCGCATCTCAGCGACGGCTGAGGTCCAGAGGGGGAAATGGAAAAGATGGGAGAGGAGAGGGTACGGTTACCGTGCGTTCAAAGGGAAGAACCAGGCACGGGCAGAGACGAGTACGGGCAGCAGGGAGAGGCGGCTCAGGACGGACGCTGGGCTTCCGTGGCTGCACTGAGCTCCGCACTCTTGGCTAAGGAGCTTCCCTGAAAGCTCACACAGGGCGATGCTGCGGGTGGAGGCAGCGCGCGCTGGCGTGGCGTGTGGGTGTCTTGGACAGAGGAGGCACGGAGGGCGACAGTGAGTGTGGGGGCGTCTGCGGAGCGGAGAGGCCCAGGAAGAGCGAGCCGCTCGGCCGGGACCGCGGGAAGGGTCACCGGAAGTCCAGGTGGACTCCAAGACACTCACTGGACAGCACGGACTTTGGCGAGAAGAAACCGGTAACGGGTCCCACCCGGGTATTTTCGGTTTGGGTGACAGCGCGTCCGGCAGGGAGGAGAGTAAGTTTCGCGCACGGTGCGCGCTAAGGATAAAGATCTGTTAGCAGCAAGGTGGCCAATGACCTGGTCCCTTCCTTTCCTGCCAGCACAGCTTCATTCTTGGAGGGTCACAAACAGAATGCCATGCTGGCATTACGCTGGGGTGTTTCTGAGCGTGAACTGGGAGCTATGATGGTTACAGGCAGGCCCGGGGTAGAAGGCCAAGGCCACCTGAGCTCTGGCTCTCCTCGCAAAGCGTGGAGAGAAGCCACGTCTCATCTTCATTATCGCTCTTGGCTTTCCGAAAGGAGTGGAGTGATTTGATTAGAGTCATTTTATTAGGATTTAAGATTTTAGACTAGGTGGGTCGTGTCCAGGCAAAGGGTCCAGCTGCAGACATCTCAAAAACAAAGAGAACACTTTTTAGAGAAATGGCTGATTCAGTGCTGGACAAAGACAGACCAGATGTTTGGCTGACAACACCGTGTCAGAGAAAAACAAAGCAAGATAAGGCCAGGGATGTAGCTCAGTGGCACCATGCCTGCCTAGCAAGTACAAGGTCCTGAGTTCGATCTCCAGTACTGGAGACAACAAAAAAAAGCAAGATGGCACACGCCTGTAATCCCAGCAGTCAGGAGGCTGAGGCAGGAGGACTGCCATGAGTTCAAGGCCAGCCCGGGCTACACAGTGAGTCTGAAGCCAGCCTGAACTACACAGTGAGACTTGTCTCAAACAAACACAAATCGAGCTCCCAGTGAGCAAAATAACAGCAAAAGACTAACATTAAAATCAGACATATCTCAAAACCGCTGACACATTGAAAACTAAATCTGTGAGTTTATAATATTTAAGAAAATAGACCTCAGAGTTCACATAAAGGCCATGTTCAGCAATGGGGAGCAAATAGGTGCTTCAGATGCGGGGCTACAACATAATGGGGATGCACAGATCCTCGGAGTTTCATGGCAAATCCTCGCTCTCCTTGATTTTTTCTTTGAGACACCATCTCACTAGTAGTCCAGGCTGGTCTAGAACTCGCAGCGATCCTCCTGCCTCAGCCTCCCAAGTGCTGGGATTACAGGTGTGCAATGTCACCCACCCAGACACTTGATCATTTTTAACAAACCTTAACAACTAGCAGGATGGTTTACAATACCGTCCATTTCTGAGTTTTGGTCGCAGAGTAGCACAGAACAGGAACAAACCCAGGTGGACATTCCTAAATACTAAACACTAAAATAGATACATAAATCCCAGAAGGAATGGAGTTCTGGACCCCAACTGCTTCCCCCACCCCACACACCTCCCAGCCCATTGTAAACGTGCTGCTTTGATTAGCACACCACGAACTGGCACGCTGCTTCCAGTCCCAGGAGGAGTCTGACCACTGCCCGTTCGGGTTGGACAGGCACAGAGGCGGCCTGAGAACTCCCCAAAGACGAGGCTGGGGACCTCCCGGCCCAGGGCTCAGCGAAGGCTTTCACTCTGGCTGTGACTATTTTATGTCTGTGATAAGTTCAATAATCAGAAACACCAGACATAAGAGCAAAAGTTCAAGGGTGTTTTCTTTCAGCAAGTGCAACAGCTTGGATGGATTTCATTCAGAAAATAATCAGAACTTACCTGAAGACTGCAAGGGTCAGAGACCAGAGCACTAATGGCTTCCTCAGCTCAAACTTCGCCCGTTTGTTCATCAGGTGCCGACCACCAAATATAAAGGCAGCGTAGAGAGCGGAAAACAGGAAAGATTTCTTCCTAGGAACAGACAAATAAGCAACGCCTTATGAAATGCGAGTCCTTAGCAGCTTGTTTCTACTCATCAGGAAACATCAACTCTCCTATCAGTTTCCTTCTCTGTAAGCAGTAAAGACATGTTCTTGGGAATGTGCCCCTTCTCTGAAAGCAACTTGGGTCCTGGTGGTGACATGGCGTCTGGATGGAGTCCCCTGGGCTTAGGGTTAGGGTCAGGGGTTAGGGTTAGGGTCAGGGGGGTCAGGGGTTAGGGGTTAAGCTTTGGGTTTGGGTTAGTCACTCAGCAGTCTGGCCAACACAAGAAGTCAAATGTCAGCAGGCAGAGATTTTCTCATTAAAATCTTCAACGTAGCATTGAGGAACAGAAAGCCACCATTTCATTGAAAGAATTAATTTTATTCTTTAGCATTTGCTGAGTTTCTTTGGATAGATGAATTTTAAAAAGAATTGTTTTATTGGAAATATTAAATAGGGTTTTGTATTGGGGAAGAAAGTTGCCATTTAAAATCGCAACTTCCTAAGTAGGGTAATGGTACTGAACAGTAACCGTGGAGTAAAAATGGGTGATTAAAGACACTAAAATACAAGTTACGGGGTTTATGACTCCCAACATGGATTCCAGAGATCCTCTCCTCCAAAGAGGCCAGGTATTCAATATTAACTTTAGTAAGAGTCGTCACTGTCAGGTTCACGACAGGAAGAGCCCCGAACCATCCACAGTCCACTTGCCTGGAAACTTAAGCTTGAAGTTTACAGAAAGTACAGGGGACAAGGAAAACTGTGGGACATTCGGCAGGACAATGGAACTTATGTCAAGTCAACGGTATGGGACAAAATGCGAGGCTATTTTAGACTGAAAACAATTTGAAGTCAGATGTGGTGGTGCACACCTGTAACTGCAGCACTCTGGGAGGCTGAGGCAGGAGGAATCAAAACTTCAAGCCTGGGGTGGGGGGGGATTTAGCTCAGTGGTTCCGCCGCCTACCTTGCAAGCACAAGGTCCTGAGTTCAATCCCCGGTACCAAAAAACCCCCAAAACAAAAAAAAAGGTTCAAGCTGGGCCTGGGCCACTTCGCAAGACCCTATCTCAAAATAAAAAATTAGAAAAAGGGCTGGGGATGTAGCTCAGTGGTAAGGCTCTGGGTTCAATTTCTATCTGCAAAAACAAGTTACTGACACATTCTGAAATATTTATGAGTAAAATTACATCTTAGATTTGCTTTGAAAAACCCCAGGCAACAAAACTAAAAAAGTATTATAGGAGGAGACATGAAACAAGATTGACAAGAGATGATGAAAACCCAGGCTAATTGCTCTCTCTTGCACACACATGCCCACACTTAAAAATATCCCACTGGGCCTGGTGCTGCATGCCTGTCAGCCCAGCACTCAGGAGGCTGAGGCAGGAGGATTGCCTCAAGTTCAAGGCCAGGCTGAGATATACAGTTGAGTTTAAGGCCAGCCTGAACTACATAGCAAGACCCATCTCAAAAAACAAAACAAGAAAATACATAGTCTGTGTGTGTGTGTGTGTGTGTGTGTGTGTGTGTGTGTGTGTGTGTGTTTTGGGGGGATGATGATTCACTGCAGAAGAAAACATCTTTATGAGTGAGGATTTCATACATCTACTGAGGGAACATCTCAAGATGTCCACGGATGGAATCTCTGTGTTGTGTCTGACTCACTGACCTCGGCTGTTAGGTTTTAATGGGACTATTAAGTCAAATATACATAAGCCAGATAAAGTGGAGTTCTCCAGGTCCCTCTGAGCCTGCTGATCTATTACTGTATCACATAAAAGTGAGCAATGGTACCGATAATGCAAACAAACAAACAAAAAGAACAAGTTTCTACAGAAATACAGTTCTACAGCAGCAGAGGCCTTGTAAATAATTTAAATATCTGCACACACTTCCTGAGATAGCAATGCTTCCCTTAAAATGGGTATCCCCTGCTCAGTTAGATCAATAGGGAATGGATTGCAAAGCAAGTCACAAGATGTAATACCAAAGGGAAAATTTGTTAACCTAAAGAGTGTTATCTGTAAAGTGCTGCATATTTTATTTCTATAGCTACTGGCAGGTATTGCTGACTCAGAAGGGACTTTATTATCTGTACAAGCGACATTCCTATTTAAACAAATGCAAGCAACCTACTTAAACACTACCTAGTTAAAGGACAATGCCAGGACTCAAGTGATCAACAAAAGTTGAATAAATTCTACTGAAGCTGGCAAACCTTCTCTTGGATACACAAGACCTGGAACATAGCAGGTGTCTAATAAATGTCTGTTGAACAAGCATGGGCTTCTGCTATGATATTATCTGATGGGGAAAAATAATTATCCAACTGTGACAGTAGGCGTCCAACAAATACAGAGAATGAACAATTAGTAACACTGAAGGAAAGATGTACTTCCTAGTAATATATTAATAACTAAAACTTTCAGAAAACATTGTGGTACATTTTCTTCTTAGAAAGAAGCAGACTATTTCTTTGGAAAAGTGAGTTGTTTTTATGGGAACTATTGAACATTTCAGGAAGAAACTACTTTTGGCTATAAATATATCCATTGTGTTAATTTCTCTGCTAAAATTTGTAAGGGCATGGCATTAAATTACTAACCTCTGTTTGTATCCATATGTAGTATAACATGTAAAACACATATATTACGTGTACATACACAGAAAGCTCATATATAAGCTAGGACTCACCAACAGCCTATTAAGTTAATGTAGGCAATAGCAGTAGGAAATAGTATAGTTCTTTTTTCTCAACAAGTGACTATAATCACAAGATTCTGCTTACTGGGTAATTCCTATAGGTAAACATCGTGAGAAAAGGCTCTGTGGTTTAGTCCTCCTAATACCTCACCATGCAGGTAAAGTATCACCTTTCACCTTGTTGACAAAGGACCAGGCTGTGGCCCAGTGGCCCCACCATCCTGCTCGCCTGCGGTTAGCTGAGGCTCCTGTGTGCTTAGCACACGGAGTCCTTCGCGGGCACTGCAAACTGGGAGAGCTCTGCTCCCCGAAACAGAAAGCACCACCACCCTCCCAGGCCTGGGCACCTGTGCCCAAATGCTTCGTCTCTTTGAGAACCCTAAAAACATTCCCTCATCATTATTTCCCTTATTTGGTGTAATTCAGATTGGGGTTATAGTCACTTTAGTTCTATTACTTGCAATTCTGCACCCACGAAACGCAAGGGACATTGTCCTACAATCCCATCATTGTAACCTATAGTGAAAAATGTTGTCTCAAGAACCAAGATAAGAATAAAAACTTCTGCTGGGCCTGGTGGCACATGCCTGTAATCCCAGCACTCGGGAGGCTGAAGCAGGAAGATCGCTGCAAGTTCAAGGCCAGCCTCGGCTACATAGTGTGTTCAAGGTCAGCCTGAACTGCATAGCAGACCCTGTCTCCAAACAAAAAAAGAATAAAACCTTTTCCTGTGTTTTCCCTCCAACTTCGCTTCTGAAGAACCAGTCGCTACACAGTGCTCACCCCCCACAAGGGTGGTCCTCTTTCCCACATCGATTCCACACGAGGACGGACGGCAGGATGGCAAAGACAAATGACAGCACAGAGCCTGAGAGGAACAGGGCCTTGGGCAGACTGGCGGCCGCTCACTGTTACGAAGCTGAACAGGGACTCTGACCGCGACGGGGAAGTTGTCTGCCTTTGCCGGCGGGGATAAACTCCTTCCGGATATAGCCAGGTGGCCGGGAACCAGGGTGACAGTCATTAAAGGTGTTCTTTGTATACTGTGTACATCTCCCACTGAAATTCAAATGATGCTCCAGATTAGAATTAAATTGAGGTAGGTATCAATCACCTGGGTGGGGGACAAACATCTTCCAAAATCCTTGCTCAGTGCCTTGTTCGTGTGCTACGTGACTTGTTTCCCCATTGGATGTCCATTTAATCAGTATTACCTGGGTGATTGTACTTGTAATCTTATTGGTTGGTCATGGTTTTGTCCCACCTCATGACCACCTTGTAAATTTCCACAGGGTCTTATAGCTTTGTCCCACTTTGTACCCGCCTCACCACATGGCTTTGCAGTATAAAACATCTTTGAAAAGTGGGATGGGTGGGAAACCCACTTTCCAGTCCCCCTTCTGTCTCTCTTAGAAGCTTTCTTTCTCTTAATAAATTTTTCCTACTCTTAAAGAAAAAAAAAATTCCGGCTTTCTTTTGAAGAGAGATTACCTGAAGGACGCTTCACTCTTACCTCTTCAGCTGGGTAATCACAAAGTACCCAGCTGGGGTGCACTCAGCAGTAAGGCGCTGGCTTTCCACAGGTGAGGCCCTGGGTTCTATCCCCAGCATCGCAAAAACAAGGAAAATGTGTCATCTGGGATTCGAATGCATGATTATTTTTCCATTTTGCTTAGATGGTATGATTTTCTTCAGCAAACTAGACAGTTAAGTGGATTAAAACTGCCTACTCTTCCTGATAAAGGTCCAATTATAGTCAAGATGAGTAACGACTTGCTGCTAACCTACTTAGTATTTAATGTGGATAGATCACTCCCTAATGCTTCCATGTCAATCCAATAATACTTCATACTCTGGCTGGCATCCAGAGCTGGAGATGACAGGAGTACCACACTGTTTGATTACTAGATAATTAGTAATTTCTCTTTGGCAAGGACTCATCTTGCTTCATAAATCTTAAATGTACGATACACAGCACAACCTTTAACTATACGTACTTAATGAGTGCTTATCAGGATGGCGATGCTGGAGTTGATTACTAGGTAATCACCAAATAAAGAAAACACAAACAAAATATTAATGTGTTTTGAACTTGCCATGCCCCTATCTAACTTCCCCCTCTTTGATTTCTGTCCTCAACAATGAAAGAAAAAAGGTGAATCTAGAAATTAGACTATGAATAATGAAAAACAAACAATGGCCTTATCCATAGACATCTGGATTTTTCTATTATACCACTTTGTTCCGAAACATTCCTAGGAGATGCTTTTTTCATTTTTA